CCGCCCGGTCCTTCTGCAAGGCCAACCAAAATAAACGAGCTCCCAGCTCGTGCTCCAGCTGGGGCCGCTTTGTTGACCAGGCTCCAGTATCTCTGTCCACAGAGCCATCTAGCGGCCGAATGACATTGCAAATCAACCTGTCACAGGCCGAGAAACACCCGTTCAAATAACGTACACTTAGTTGAAATGTAATATTTTTTAATCATCAGGAAAAATATCTGGTTTGCCCCCCTCAAAATTAGCTCTTTGCCGGACTTTTCATTACATTTTTCACCTCCATTTTTACCTACAGTGTTTTCAAAGAGCAATTCAGGGGCGGTGGGTGAATGAGCTGTTGGGGGAGCCTAGCCCCCGGCTCCTCCCTCGCTGCCCGAGAACGCCCCCTCCCCTTCTGCCTCCCCTTCCCTGCTGGAGCCCAGAGCCCAGAGCCCAGAGCCCAGGTGGGTGGGTGGGTGTGTTCCTGCTGCCCCCTGCTGGAGGAGCTGAGCCCTGCTCTGTGTCTGTGTGTGTCCCTGCCCACCCCCTGTGGCCGCCGGCTCCCCCCATACACCTGCAGTCCCAGAGTGCCCCCAACCCCGACTCCGGGCAGCATTGCATGGCCCTAGCCCCAGCGACCCAGCCCCTGGCCTCACGAGCACAAGCCCCAGCCTGCCTGCCCCAGCCTCTCAGCCTCGGAAGAGGGAAGGGAACTGGAAGCAGGCAGGAGGGAGTCTGGGGGCGGAGCGTGGGTGGGGCCACGCCTGGCTGTTTGGGGAGGCACAGCCTTCCCCGTCCTACGATACCCACCACCCATGGGGCAATTGTTGAAAATTATAATCAATTAAAGTTAAATAAACTTTTAAACAGAAAATAGTGTGTGTGGGGAGATTGGCAAACAAAATTGTTTAGGTTTTTGGGAAACAGACAATTATGATGGCTGAACAGAACCCTATTTGATCAAAATGCAGATAAAACAATGGATGAAAATTTGGAGGGAGTGTTTGATTCAAAGTTTAGAAAAGTTTCAAATACCAAATTCCCAAAACTTTTTGGGGCAAAAGTGGGGGAAACGGTGTTGTACTTAAAGTACTGCACAGGATCTTTTTAG